CCCCCCGAAACCCGACGGGAACGACCTCTATCCCCATCCAGGGGGGTAGATCGGCCAGCGGGGCCCAGGCCACGCCGCTGGGGATGGGGATCGCTTAAACGATGCTCACGACCATGTGCATGCTTGGGCCGCCTCTTGGTCCTCCAACCGGGCGCGGCCTCAGCGACCACGTTCGCGACGAGCCCCTTCCCCGACGAGCCCCCCCCCCCGTCACCGAGGGCCCTCTCTCGGGCCGCCCGCCCACGTCTCGGAGAGAGGCGCGGGGGTGGCCACGAGACGGAAAGGGGCCTGTCTGCGAGGGGGCCCGTCAGGCTGCCCCTGACCTGGCGAAGCCCAACAGATGCAGACATCGCCACTCCCCGGCCCTCCCGGGGTGCGTCCCGACCAGAGTTTCGAGGAGGGTCCAGCGCAGGGATCGACCCGAATACAGGTTTTCGCTCTCGCGTTGCTTTCGTGTTCCATCGTGTTGTCTTCCAGCCGCCTTTGCTGCAGAACGGCATCGAAACAAAACCGGCCCACGACATTGCCAAAACACCGTTTAGGTCGCACCCTGGGCCCAGCGGGGGCGGCGAGGGCCTCCCTGGAGGCCCCAAGCGGCAGAAACGAGGGAGGAGCAGCGGCATCTGTACCCCCTACACTTGCTGATGCCATGACAATGGACACTCTAACAATCCTATCATTGACTTAAAAATGTGTTTAAAATGTGTAAAACCTGTTCTAATCGCGTTTCAAAAACATGTTCTTCCATATATATATATATATATATATATATAACATGTTTGAAACGTTTTCTTTAGACACCTGGAGATGATTTCGCAGCCTGCTCCCTCTCCATTGACCGTCCTCCACCACCCTGCCCCCCGCTGCCGATCCCACCTCGCCGGCGGCGGCCGTGTGGGGGGGGCCCGCGAGGCGGCCGAGGGCGACGTCGGTGTCGGCGCGCGAGCTGCCGCGGCTGAGCGGCGGGAGAGCCCCGCAGCTGGCGCTGGGGCGCATGGCGGCCGGCGGCCTCGGCGCCGCGAAGGCCACCAGCCGGCAGCCGGCGCCCGCCCTGCGCTCTCGCCCCCGGGCCCTGGGCGACCGCGGCCCGCCGGCGCCCGAGCAGCACACCCTCCCACGCAGAGGGCATCCGTGCGCCACCCCCCCTGCCCCTCCTCCTCCTCCTCCTCCTCCTCCTCCTCCTCCTCCTCCTCCTCCTCCTCCTCCTCCTCCTCCTACTACTACTACTACTACTACTACTACTACTACTACTACTTCAGATCCGCAATTGATCATGGCTCAGAAGGTGGAGAGGTGGGCCCCCATCTGGACCGACAACAACGCCTCCCACAACGCAATTCTGGACATGATGGAGCTACTCCACACGCAGAGCAGGATCGATGCTCTGCCGCCGCTCACTACTGATGACTTGGAGCCGCTGTGGAACAAGTTACCGAGTTCCAAGGCCAAAGGCGTTGACGTCCTCGGGCCGACAGATCTGCAAAGGCTGCCGATGGCCGCCAAGTTCGAGGTGGTCGCCATCCTCAACGCTGCGGGGGAGGTTGGCTCATGGCCGTTGCAGTTGCTGCTGACGATGTGCGCCACTCTGCCGAAGCCTGCTGGCGGCGAGCGCATCATCGGCGTCCTTCCGAAGATCGTGGGACTGTGGTCACGTGCGCGCTCGTCTGCCACCGACAGCTGGGCCGACAGCAGGAGCGACTTCTGGGACACCGCGGTGCGGCACTCGTCGGCCTTGAGAGCCGCCCTGCAGCGGTCCGTCATGGACGAGGCCGCCCATGAGCTGGGTTTCTCTGTGGCTGTGCTACTGCTCGATTTAGAAAAAAAATTGACAACATCTCTCTTCTGAAGCTGATGCAGATCGCTTTAGCTCAGTCTTATCCTGCCGTTGTAGCTCTGTTGGAAGTCCAGATGTTTTTGGCTCCGCGTGTTTTGAAATCTCGGGCCATGGCCAGCGAATTTGTGTTCCCGACTCGGTCCTTGGTCGCGGGGTCCTCCAAGGGAGTTTCGCTGGCCAAACTTTTCCTGGGACCTATCATGGAGGAGGCCCACAGGGTGCTGGCCGTGAGTCAGGCCAAGGCCTCCTCGGCCATCTGGACGTTCGTAGATGATACTGTTGCTCGGTCCGAAGGGAGATGGGCCGACGTTGCTGGCCAGATGTCGGGGCTCGCTGACTCGTTTGTGCGGTCGTTTGCGGACCAGGAGCTCCCGATATCTTCCAAGACCAAGCTTGTGGTCAACACTCCCAGGTTGGGCCCCGAGCTTTTGACCAAAATCAACCGTCTGGGGATGCCGGCCTCGCTCGTCAAAACTGCGGTGGATTTGGGGTGTGACGTTGCGGGGGGGTCGCGTCGGTCGTGCGTGAAGCTCAACCAGCGACTGAGCAAGGGCCGCTCCAGAGGTGCTCGCATTAATAAACTTCGCAGGCACGCTTCTCTTGCCAAGGAGGCCCAAGGTCTGTGGCTGCAGGGGGCGTTGCCCCAGTCGGTGTATGGGCACCAGGCAATGGGGCCTTCCCCCTCCTCCATCCTCCAGTTGCGGAGGCAGGCGGCCCAAGCTGTCGCGGGCAAGGGCCCAGGGCGCTGCCTCACCACCACTCTGGCGATTTGGTTTGGGGACAAGGACCCTGGAATCAGTTTACGGACCCAGCTGGTCCGCTCCTGGCTCGACCTCTGGGACAAGTGCCCCTCCCTCCACCCTCGTATCGTGAAAGCTTGGCCGTTGGTGGCCGCGCGTCTCGGGCACGACCCCAAGTTTAGGTGGCGGAAAGTCCGAAGGCATATTGGGGCCATCATCGCCACCCTGAGAGACGGAGGTTGGAGGCCCATCTCTCCCACCGAATGGAAGAGGCCCATCGGGGCCGATACGTTTGAAACCTGGCAGTTTCCTGACATCGCGGCCGATCGAGTCGCTGGAGATTTCGACATTGCTGGATTAGTTAGCGATGTTGCTGAGGACCTCAAAGCTCAGCTGTGGCAGCAGGCGGCTAAACACGAGCACGGGGATGATCTCGTCTCAGGTGCCGACGTGACTGCCATTCGCTCACGGCTCCAGCGTTTCCTGAAACGTGATGAATTCGATCAGATCGGTCAGATGGTCACAGTGGCCTCTGGAGGCCAGTGGCCTCATCAGAGGCAGCGAGATCGAGGCTATCTTGTTTCCTTGAAATGTCCGCGCTGCGGGGCCCCTGAGGAGACCCTTTTCCGCCGTATTTGGGAGTGCCCCTGCAACAAGGATGACCCCGCTTATGAAACATCAGAGTTTTTAGTTGCTCAGGCCCGCGCAGGCCACGAGGCCAACCCGAGTCTCTGGCTGCGCGGGCTCCCGCCTCGCTCTTTCACGTGTCCTGACTTTCGGGACGGGGGTGAGGACGTGGAGTGGGGGGTGGACGGAGAGCACTCGGACCTCCTCGACTGTAGAGAGGATGGCATGCTGCTCGTTTTCGGCGACGGCTAAGGAGGGCAATTTAGCAGCGACCCTCGTCGCCGAAGGGTGGGCGCGGCTGCGATTTCGCTGGCGCCAGCCTCTGGAGGCTGGACTCGGGCCCGCGGCTTTGCCTCGACCCTTGGAGGTCGCCGCCAAACGGTGCCCAGAGCCGAGATCCGCGCGTTTGAGCTTGCGCTTCGCCGATGTCCAAGCCCGTTGCGTTTTGTCACGGACAACGCGGCCCTCCATCGAGGGTGGCACTCCAGAAAGCATGAGCACTGTAAAGGCCCCAACTCTGACCTCTGGTTCCGCGTCCGTGCCGCCCTCGCTGACAGGGGAGAAGGTGAAGTCCAGGTGGTGTGGTACCCGTCGCACGTTGACCCTGAGGACCCCGCCCTCTCCCCTCAGGAGCGGTTGTTCGCCACGGGCAATGGGTTTGCCGACATTCTCGCTGGAGAAGCGGCCAAGTTTTCCTGGACCCACGGCCTCCAGGGCCAAAGGCCCCCCGACACAGATCTCTGGGATTGCACGGCGTCGCTGGTTAGGCGACGAGCGGCGAAGGCTATGGTGGACTCCATCAGTGTGGCCCCGTGGTCCGCCGAGCGGCCTCCCGAGGCCCGTCGGGTTGTTGGCCTCCCTGAGGCCCTTCTTAAGAGCGAGCACTGTTTGGTCAGGACCGAACGTAAATGGCTGTGCTCGCTGTGTCACAAAGTTGCCCCCGTGCATGATGTGGCAGCCTTTGCGGCGACGCAGTGTCAGGCGGCGAGCCCTGACCTTTCTGGTCTCGCCGATCATGGGCCATGGGGTGGTGCGGGCTGGTGGGGCGGTGACTGTTGGGGGGAAGGTCTGTCACGCCTCACACAATTTGCATTTCTGGCCCAAGTTTGGGCTACATTTTTGTTTGACGTGTGGTAAAACGGCCACGGAGGACCCACGTCATTTCGTTGCCGAATGCAAAGACCGCACCAAGAAAGGTCTAGAGAACCTTCAACGAATTCAAAAGGGACTGTTTCCCAGCCACGCGGGGCCGTCGAAGACGTCCCAGGCACGTGAGCTGGGCATTGTCAGGCGCGAGGCTGCCCTCCGAGGCCCGCCGCCTGTTGCTCGCTGAACTCGCTGCCACCCCGTGGATATCAGCGAATTCCAGCGAATTCCTCCTCCTCCTCCCTTCCTCCCCCTCCTCCTCCTCCTCCTCCTTCTCCTCCTCCTCCTCCTCCTCCTCCTCTTCCTCCTCCTCCTCCTGCTCCTCCTCCTCCTCCTCCTCCTCATCCTCCTCCTCCTCCTCCTCCTCCTTTCCACCTCCGCCTCCTCCTCCTTTCCTCCTCCTCCTCCTCCTCCCCTCCTCCTCCTCCTCCTCCTTTCCTCCTCCTCCTTTCCTCCTCCTCCTCCTCCTCCTCCTCCTCCTCCTCCTCCTCCTCCTCCGCCTCCTCGCCGTGCCGGGTTGGTGCCGTCCTGTGCCACGGCACGGGCACGAGCGCTGCCCTCGTGGGACCCTGTGCGGCTGCAGCGCGGGAGCCGAGATCGAGCCCGTGCCGCGGCCGAAGGGTCCCGGTTCCCGGAACGCTGTCTGGGCTAAGCCCGTTCTGCTGATCTGAGGGGGCCCTGGGACACACGAGCAAATACACACAAATAAAAAGATGCCCCATATTTTTCCTGCATGTTCTGGGTTTTTGTCTTCCCCCCCACTTCCCATATTTTCCTATATTTTCTGGGGAATCGAAGATTAATTGTGTCTGTGTGTGTTTTTCCCTCCTGATGATCGCTCGGCGGCAGAACAAGCTTAGACGCCGAAGGGGCTCACAAGGAAGCCCTGGGGGCGCGCGCTCCTGAACTGAGGCCAGGAGGGTCTGTGCATCCGCCATGTGGCCCAGGGTGGCCCTTGCCAGGCACGGCGGTGGTGTACTGATGTCTTCTGCGGGCCTCAGGTCAAGGGAGCTGTTCGCAGTCACCACCTCGGCCAGCTCGGCCTGCAGCATGGCGTGCTGATCTATCAAGTGCTGGCCAGCGGGGAAGTCGAGCAGCTTCACCGACTTGATGAGCCGCGAAGACTGGCCGTTGCCTCCGAAGGCGACCTTCCGCTCAATGGCGGCCTTCAGCCGGAGACTCGCCGCACGCTCCGCGTCACCGTCCCCCACGGAGATGACGTTCCTGTACGACTTGCACTCCCTCTGGAAGGCGCAGACCTTGAAGTCGATCGGCACACTCGTAGGCCTCGCGTAAATGTCATATCCACGCATCTGCTGCAGCAGCTGCGGCATGAAGTGCTGGCAGGACTGGTCCACCCATCCTGGGGAAACCACACGGCACCGATACTACTACTCCCCGAACCTCTCCCGGGGCGCGTTCTGACCAGCATCTCGAGGCGAAACCGGCGGTGGCGACGAGGGCCGCCCAGGAGACCCCAAAAAGGGCAGGACGAGCGATGGGTGGAGGCATGGGCGCAGTTTCCTCCTCTGACGTCCTGGCGCGCTGTTGGTGATGAAGATCACCTTCCCGAGCGTCTCGGCGAGCCTCAGGGTCTCGCCGGCCGCGCTGCACAGGGCGGCCAGGACGTGCTGCACCGCGGGCCTCTCGAGCCCGCCCGCCGCCGCGGCCGCCTCCTCGAGCCACGAGGTGGGGAGGATGGTGTCGTCCCAGTCGAAGACGATGACCGTGTCCCGCCTCGCGCTCTCGGCGGCCCCCTCCGCGCCCCCCGCCCGGGCCCCGGCGGCCGCGCCGCCCCACTCCATCGAGCGGCAGGCCGAGGCCCTGCGCGCGCGGCTCGGTGCGCCCCGGCCGCCCGCCGCCGTCGAGCTGGAGCCGAGGTATGGTCGTGTGCGGAGGCGGCCTCGGCACCGCCTGCACCCCGGCCCGCCCTCCGGCCGACCGAGGCCCCGCCCGCCTGTGCCCTCAGGGCACAGGCGGGCGGGCACAGGCGGGCTACGCACAGCTCTAACTGGGGAGACAGTGTCTCCCCAGTTAGAGCTGTGCGTAGCCCGCCCAGCTTTTACCGGAAGAGGTTCGCTCTCGCCCCGCAGAGCACAAACGTGTGCGGAGACGGCCTGGACGGGTGTGAGGAAGATGCCTCTGCGCAGTCCCTGCTCGGGTGCATCCTCGGAGGACTCCTGTCTGGCCTGGCAAAGGCTTCCAACGTGCGCGACAACGTCTGGCCAAGGAAGCTACCGTGTCTGGTAGCACAGAGTTGTCTCGTACTTTCCGCCTGGGCGGGCTGACGCCGCCGAGAGAATTCATACATCGTGTGTGTTTGATTCGTTGAGGGTTTGTCGTAGAAGAACTCATACCCGTCAAGTCCGTCAGTACAGCTGGACAGCTCGAAACTACACGCTCCGCAGGATTGCTCTCGTCTAGAGTGAGTGCGCTGCCTCACTGCCTCCAGCGAGTGCGCTGGAGAACCTGGTGCATACAACCACACGTTTGTCCCCGTAGCTCCCCAGAGGCCTCCAGAGGCTCCCCTGAGACCCTGACGACGACCGGGAACGTCAAAAACAGAGATCCTCGAACCTCGATCCTCGAACTCTGAGGGGCACCGACCACAGTCCCCCCGCCTGGCTCAAATCCGTTGCAAATCCGTCCCCGACCACTCCGGATGTCTATCCCGTCTGTTTTTCGCAGCGGATCCAGCCATGTCTACGAGGAGCCTCCAGGATGCCCGGAAACGCGAGAGAGGGGCGCCGTTGTCTCGTCAGGCCATCCTCCGAGACGACGACGACGGCGGGACGACGACGACGACGACGACGACGACGACGACGACGACGACGAGGACCCGAGGCGCGAGACGAGCCCCGCCCGCTCGCGGCCCTCAGAGGGTCGCGAACCGAGCGCCGCTTTGGCCAGAAGAGCGGCGGCCCAGAGACCCGCGGGAAGGATCGGCGCCTGGAAAGATCTTACAGGGCAGTGTCTGATACATAGGATCTTAATGCATGGTCAATGTATGAATACATGCATGCACAAACTCATGGTTGTGTTTAATACAACCCCCCTGCATTTGCAATACATGGTTCGCACGCGGAGCATGTATTAAAAACGGCACTGTATGGGTTTCCTGCGTTAAGACGGACCTGTGAGATCCAGCAGCTCTTGAAGACGTATCGGGCGCCGCGGCACTCTGGAACGGATGTGTCTTCGTTCTGGCCCCGCCCGATGGGTCCTACACGCCACCACGAACGCTTACCGCTTCATCCGAAGCCATGTCATGCAGGCGAGACGATCCAGGACGAGTTCACCCAGATGAACTTGCCTGGATACATTCCTCTTGAAGAATGTATCGGAAAACGAGTTCACCCGAATGCGTGTTCATTCAGAGACGAGATCATCTGCAGGTGAGCTCATCTGGACAAATTCATCTGGACAGCTTCGTCCGGACGAATTCGTCCGGGAGAGCGTGCATTCGGATGAACTCGTCGCGGGAGAATTCGGTGAATATGAACTAGTCTTGCCTGGCCAGCGCCATCCTGGGCCCCAGGTGGTGCACACCCCCACCTCCTCTCGCCGTAAAAAAAACACGACTGGCGTGTTGCTTGCTGTCGGCGCCGTGAGGCACAACTCGGGATGGAGAGCCTGTTCCCGGGAAGGGTTCGGTAGCAAGTCAGGGAAGCATCCCATACCATCTTGTCGGCTCTTGCGAATCGGCGCTGGTCGACGCTAAATCGACGCTAATTCGACGCTTGTCGACGCAAGCTCTCTCCCAGACGCAAATCGACGCGAATCGACGGAATTAAGACGGTATGCCAGGCTCCCATGACTTGCTGCAGAAGGGCCCACGATTCGAAACAGCATCACGCAGGTGACCCCACCATGCAAAACAGTCCCGCCATCGCGGTGCCGTGAGTGATGGGCCGATTTCCCACCACCACTACCGTAGGCAGGATGAGGAGGAGGAGGAGGGGGAGGAGGAGGAGGAGGAGAAGGAGGAGGAGGAAGAGGAGGACGAGGGGAGAGGAGAGGAGGAAAGGAGGAGAGAGGAGGACGAAGGAGGAGGAGGAGGAGGAGGAGGAGGAGGGAGGAGGAGGAGGAGGAGGAGGAGGAGGAGAGGAGGAGGGGGAGGAGGAGGAGGAGGAGGAGGAGGAGGAGGAGGATGAGGAGGAGGAGGAGGAGGACCTATGGTACGAAGGGGCTCTTCTGGCCACGGCGAGCCTCGGCCACGAACGGGCAAGCAGACCGGCAGCAGCCGAGGAACGGCCCAGGAGGAGCTCTGGAGCCCCCCTTGCTCGTCCTCCTCCTACCGGCAGCAGCCGAGGAACGGCCCAGGAGGAGCTCTGGAGCCCCCCTTGCTCCCTCCTCCCTCTCCTCCTCATCCTCCTCCTCCTCCCTCCTCCTCCCCCTCCTCCTCCTCTCCTCCTCCTCTCTCTCCTCCCTCGTCTCCTCTCGTCTCCTCTCCTCCTCCTCCTCTCCTCCTCCTCCCTCCTCCTCCTCCTCCTCCTCCCTCCTCCTCCTCCCCTCCTCCTCCTCCTCCGCTTCCTCCTCCCTCCTCCTCCTCCTCTTCCTCCTACGCCTCCTCCTCCTCCTCCTCCTCCTCCTCCTCCTGTGCACCTCAGCATACAGGAAGAGCCCGACCACAAGAAACCTTTCACAAGGAACCCCACCCTGAGACCCCAGGGCGTCCATCGAATAGTGGCGTGGGAGCGTCACGCTTTCCATGGCAGGGCTATCGAAACCAAGATAGCCAGGCCCCCCTGGAGGCAAGCAGGGCGTGTCTTGGCATGGGCTTCTAACTGTGCCACAGTATCTGCACAGCGCGCCTTCGCACAGGGGGGGGGGGGAAGCGGGTCCTGAGGGCAAAGGGCCCTGGACCCCCTGGGGCCTTCTCCCACGACGAGATCGTCATCTTCACCCGTGTTCTGACCACCCCGGGGCCCGCGGTGGGCCCCGAGAGCCCGAGAGCTGTGAAACGCCTCGGGGCCCGCTTCCCTCGGGACCTGTGCGCCCCCTGGCGAATGCCCGAGGCTCTTTTTATTCTCATGTAAGAACAGACCACCATTCAAAGGACACGCACGGCCCCCGAGGATGCATCGCAGCAGAACAGCCCCAAACATGACGCCCGAACAAAGAGAAGCGGCACCATGCAGGGTCCTCCTGGTGGTGTGGTGAGAATCGTCGCCAGGCTCTTCTTGTGTCCTCCAGGATGGCCCCTACGAGAGCCCCCGAGGCTTTCAAGCAGACTCCAAGACATCCCCAACAGGCTCCAAAAATGTCTTCAGGCAGACCCAAGAACCACCACGAGCTTTTCAAGAGGTGAACTCTTGCGCCGAACAGGGGCAACCTCTCACTCTCCTCATCAGCAGCCTGACGCACGCGTACATTATGGTACGCGAACTGTGGCTCGCGAATCGTTGTGTTCTCTGGTGGGCGGCCTGTGATACGAGATCTTGGCTTCATCGGTTGGTACAAGGCCATGGGCTCACGTCTACAACACGAGCACACAACAACACACTAACTTATTACAAGATCATCCTCGATCTTCTTGGTCCTTCTCTTCCTCGCGTGGCTTCTCTCGCCTGCTACCTACGCCTCCCCCCCTCTTCTTCTTCCTCTTCCCCCGACTGAGCGTAGCGGAGATTCCGCCTTGGATGGTCTACCACCCGCGATCGAAACAAGTTATTCGGGTTTCCTGTGCGGTCGTGTCCGCAGCATCTGGACGGCCTCGAGGGCGTCTCATGGACGACAGATGGGAGACAAAAGTGGACCGTGCCGCTATAGGCATTATGGCGCAATCTTGAAATCCTTTCGGCAGCTCTGAGCTGCCGAATGCATGAACATACTGCAACCCTGAAGCGAATGTGTAACTATATAGGAGAACAAGACGTTTCACTGTTGCGGCCCCTGGTGGAGATCCTTTTGAATACGTTTGGAAGTGTGTTGGGTGGCCTTATCCGCTGTCTCCAAAGTGTCATTGGCCGTTTCGAGACCATTGGACCTGCTCGGCCCGTCTTGCTGGCCATCGGAGGCATCTCGCAATTCACTTTGAAACATCCTGCTGGCATTGAGGACCGTTGTTGAAGCCACTCCGGCCGTCTCAACAACCTCTTGGAAGCCTCTTGGGCCGTCTTGGACCTCTCCCGTGCCCTCTTGGAAGCCTCTCAGGCCGTCTCTTGTGAACCCTCCAAGGCCATGTTGGGTGCCTCGTGGGCCGGCTTGGGCCCGTGTTGCCCAAAGATGCCCAAAGAAAACCCTGCAGAACCCGGCAACTGCATGGACAGAGAAACATCGAGAACCCCTGAGAGAACCCCGCGCTACGGAAAACACCAAGATAGCCCACAGAGAACACTGCAGAATCCTGTCACTGCATGGATGGAGATGCAGCTACAAAAGTTGGGTGAAAACGCGCTCGAACAAGCTCATCCCCCTTCTGCTCGACTTTCTTTTTTCCCCTGCTGTTCACACGCCACACGCCTCTATCATCCCTCGCCCTCCTCCTCCTCCTCCTTCTCCTCCCCTTCCTTTTCCCGCATCCTGATCCTTCATCCCCCCCTTCCTCTCTCGACAGGGTCGCGAATGCAGTGGTCGACGCTCTTTGGCACGCCCACGCTGACCTAACACATCGGCTTGACGGCTCCCCGAGCTCTCTGCCGAAGTGTATGCTCCGCCACTCCTCTCCTCAAGGCAGTTCGCCTAGGCATCGTTGCTGGATGGGCTGGCGGTGATAATGTCAGCGCGTGGCTCAGGAAAACAAGTTGGGCGCGCGATTAAATCGCGGGAGCGGCGCCCGCCAAATGGAAACGAATGGCGGCGGCGCCAGCGATTAGCGCCGACGTCCTGCCGACAGCAGGGAGGCGACAAGCGCGA